GTGAGTTTAAGCCACCGGGTCCGGGACTCGAACCACAGTCGACTACATGGGAGTCCAGCGACATAGCCATTACACTAAGTGCTGGTCCCCACCTCCCAACTTTGTGGCATTGAGGGCTTAGTCTACAAAAACATGAACTTTGGGAGACACATTCAAGTCATGGCATTTCCAGACTAAAATCTCCCTCTGCCCTACCCCTATACCTTTGAAGCACTTCTCCTCAAAGGCCTTCCTCAAAAGTACATTTGGAGGAAGCAGAGCAGTGGCTTAGGTACCTTATAAAATGTCATCTTATCTGACCTCCCTGCTGGACCCTACCCTCTAACCCTTAACTCTTAATCCCTAACCCCAACCCCCAAGACGCCAGTAATCCAGGGTTTGAACATTTTTTTGAGACCAAGAGTTCATTACCCGCCAATGAATTCCAGCTTTCAGGAACTTTCAGTGTGAGAAATTTTGCACACCGACCTGGAAGGCTGATTGTCAGCTAATGACTGACGCGGGGAAAACTGGCTGTTTGAGGGAAAATCAAATCATGTCTTTTTCCCACACTGTGTCCTATAGTACACACATTCCAATTCCTTCGAGTGCTGGTTTTCAAATGGAAATGCTCATTAAAACCACCCATGAAACCTGCTAAAAAATGGAGTGGTTTTTTTTTTTTTTTTGGACTTACTCTCAGAAGTGGTGGTTCTGGGGTGGGCTCCAGAAATCTGGATTTTTAACAAGTTGCTGAGGTCATTCCAATGCAGTAACTCTCAGATCACAGGGTGAGAGGCACTGGGTAAATAATTTCAACATGAAGAGGCCCGCTGATGACATAGCAGAACATCAAGGCACTCTGTGAAGCAAGCCCACATGGAATGTCCCAGGTTCTCATCCAGAGACCTCCCTGGGGATGCTGTGAGCGCCGGGATCTGAGCTTGCTGAGGCTCGGGGCGGGTTGTGGCACTGAGACCCTGTTAGAGGATGGTGTTTTCTTCCTCCTCTCACTTTTTCTCTCTATGTCTCTATGTCTTTTGCTCACTGAAGAAACAAAGCTAAATGTCAAAAAGAAGAAAATCTGGCCCATACTTACCTGGTCTTCAGTAGAGAAGGACTTTGGAAGCATAAAAGTAGCAGAAGTGACACCCAAAGCACTCTGACCACATAAAACATAAAAAGCATTCACTTCCGGAAGCATCAAGATACTTAATGCCAATAAGCTGGGGGGAAATGGGAGGGATTTAAAAGATGATCAGGGTTTGGACAGTGAAAGAGCTCTCGGGGCCAGCAGGTGGCACGGCACTGAATGTGCTGGGCTCCCACGTGGTTGATTGTGGTTCCAGTTCGGGACCCGGCAGCTTGCTTTCTCACCTTCCCTCCCTCTGTCTCTTTGTCTCTCTCTGGTGAGTGCACGTGCCCTATAGCCAAGTTTTAAAAATAATAAGAAAAATAAAGACCTCTTACAAAGTCTTTAAAAATATGACACCAATAGCTCATACTCATCAAATCACAAGCTACAAAAGGCCTGTAAACATAAAAATAATTCAGCCATATAATTTTGCCCAACAACAACAAAAAATGTTAAGGGGCCAGGCAGTGGTGCAACTGGACCTGCATGGAAAGGTCCTGGGTTCCGTCTCGGGACCGCCATGCACACCGGGCCCACACGTCCACGCCCCAGGCCGGCTGACACTCCGGTGGATTGCAGGCTGAGGGGGGATCCTGCTGGGGGTGCCTCTCTCCTTTTCTCTCAGAGGAAATAAATAAATAAACTTTTTATAAAAATTAAGCTAATGTACTAATGTTGGTAAAATGGGCTCCCAGCACTGTGGTACTGTGTGCCTAAGCTCTCTGGAAAGCAATCCGATAAGAGGTCTTGAGAGGCTTTAAAATTGTTTGTGTCGGGCCAGCTGGTAGTGTGGTGGTTGGGGCAGCTGGATTCCACGTGCCTGGCTGCATGGTTCAAGTCCCAGACCCACAGCAGGCACATGCGCATGCATGCCCAAAACCCTGAAAAGAGGAGTGAGGGAGGAAGGGTTGCAGCGTGGCCACCCTCCATTGGAACGGGGTGGTTTCTTGCTTTCTGCCCCGCATCAGTCCCTGGCAAGTGCATGTATGCTCTAGCAAATTAAAAAGAAAGTTCATTGTCTTTGGCTTAGTAATTTTAGCTCAAGACCGTAAGTTAATGTCAGATTGTCGGGAAAGTCACGGCACATTTTTACACAGAAAAATATGCCCCCAAATTGGGTTGACTTTCCCGACAACCCAAGGAAACCAGAGCTCTTTGGTTCAAAGCGAGAGAAAGCTTAAGAAAGACGAAGATAATGCCTTGAACTGTGAGACTGAAAAGCCCAGCAAGTCCAGCTAGAGGACCAGCATGTCAGGCGCCATGCCAGCACAGTCCAGTCTCTCTCTGGCTCTGGGCTCCACCTGCCCACTCCTTGGCTTCATTCTCAGGTTCAGCTAAAGGAGATGGCCGCCAACCTCCGCCCTATGTGCTCTAAAGTTAAGTCAGGGGGAAAGAGAGAGTGTCAAGAGAGTGTCTCGTTCCAGCTCTTCCTTGAACAAGTCCCAGGGGTTACTCTGATACACTGCCTTGGGTTGTATGCCTCTCTTTAGGCAAATCAGTAACTGGCCAAACCTAGCCCTTACGTTTATTCCTGAACTAATCTAGTGGGATTTCCGTACTCTGTAAGGAGCCAGAAGTTCCTACTCTAATTGGAGATGCTGGGGGCCCAATTTTTGAGCTGTAGTGAGATGGACTATCTGTCATGGCTGGAGGTCATTCCCCTGGAGCCAAGGGTGGTTGCTACATACATTTCATGGACCCATAGAAGAAAGAAGATTCCCCCGAAAGGAAATCAGAGTGTTGTCATCAGAGGGAGTAGGACCTGGGCCAGGCTAGCAGAAGCAAGAAATGCCACCACACGTGCCAACAAAGTGTCTGCTCATCATATCGCTATTTAGGGTAGCCCAACTGGAGATGACTAAATATCCCAGAAAAAGAGTTTAATAAATGATGCCAGGACTTTATGATTTGTGATTCTGCAACCACTAAATAACATGCTTTTAAAAATAGTTAATGTAAGGAAAATATCTGTAGGGTATCAAGTTAAGTGAAATAAGTAGGGGTGAAAAAAAAATAGAAGACCAGCAGGCAGCATGGTGGTTAAGATACTGGATCCCACACGGTCAGCTGCATGGCCTGCGTCCCAGATCCCGTGACTTGAAAATCACGCTGAGCGTGTGCCCGTGCATGCCCAGGATCCTGAGAGGAGAATGGAGGAGAAGGGAGTGCAACGTGGCCATCCCTCCAGGAGTGATTTCTCTCTCTCTGTCTCTGGTGAGCATGTGCCCTGTAGTAAAAACAACAACAATGAAAGTAGGATAAAGCTCAATTTCACAAAAATTATATGAAAGAGTGGAAGAAAGTAAGAAGGCAGCACTTCTAAGTGGGAGGATCCAGATCTGTGGAGGAGTTGTGGATATTAGACCCACCGAGTGTGGTCGGTTGAATTAGTGGCCCCGTCTAATCCAACCACACTGGCAAGATACAACCACACTCTTGCCGGGGCCTCCTGGTGGGCAGAATATTTGTCCTCTCTCTTTTTTTGAGAGAGAGATTTTTATTATAGGGAAAGTGCACTTGTTGGACAGACAGAGACAGAAAGCGAGAAATCACCCCCTGGTGGGGGGTGGGGGGCGGGAGATGGCCATGCCACAATCCCCTCTCCACCATTCTCTCAGGATTTTGGGCACACATGCACACACACCTGGTGTGAGTTTCAAGCTGCTGCATCCAGGAGTTAAACATAGGAGTCCAGTGCCTTAATCACTACACCACCATCCTCTTGACTTGGGTTTGGGCTTGGTCATGTGACTTGATTTGGCCAATAAGAGGTGAGTGGATTATGACATAAGCAGAGGTTTAAAACATGACTGTGCATTAAACTTACCCCCGAGAGTTTGGCCATAAACAGAATGAGCCTCAGGGAGCCCTCTGATTGCAGGAGGATGTGAGCCACGTGGAAGAGCCAGGGACCCAACCTGCAGCTGGGATCCACCTAAATCATTCCATCCTTTTTTTCCCCCTGTGGCTTTCCTCCATATATTTATTTTATCCTTTTCACTAATAGCTGCAGCACATCTAATACTATGGAGTGTTTCATTATTGGTACATTTCAGGGCTTCTCCTCTTTGAAAAGTAGGAAGAAGCTTTGACCTTCCAGTGAAAATTGCAATATTGCCACTAATACTTTTAATTTGAGGTTCTCAAAATTCCTTTCTTTACTTATTATCATCATAATCTTGTTTATATTACATTGAATCACATATACCTTTACAGGGTA